TTTTATTAGAAATGCTGTAGACAAAAAAGCTTTTCCCAGTGCACATATCCCCTTTTAACACTTTTGATGAAGTCTTCTGATGAGCATAACTGTTTACATTTTAGGAAATTCCAGTTATCTAGTTTATCTTTGCTGTTTTGGTATGTTTGATATTCTATTTATGTGGTTCAGCAGGGCTGCTAGCATTGTCCTCATCTTTTCTTACGAAATCATTATACTCTTTATACCAGAATGACAAACTAAGGACAAATGATGGTACATTAATTGTCAAAAAGAACATTTCAAGATCTATCCTAAAGTAAAATGCTATCAGTAATAGGACTATACCCTACACCTACAAGGAAGACCAGTTAATATAACTATTATTCAAATTTACGCATTAACCATTAATGCCAAAGATAAAGAAACTGAAGATTTTCATCAATATCTACAGTCTGAAATGGATCAAATATACAATCAAGGTGCATTGATAATTATTGTTGATTGGAAGGCAAAAGTTGGAAATGAGGAAGAAGGATCAGTTGTTGAAAATATAGCCTTCATGACATAATCGATGCCGGAGACCACATGACAGAATTCTGTAAGATCAATGACACACTTTCTTCAATATAAAAGGTGACTATACCTGTGGACCTCACAGGAGGGAATATACAGGAATAAAACCAACAACATCTGTGGAAACAGATGATGGCAAAGCTCAGCATCATCTGTCAGAACACAGCCAGGAGCCAACTGTGGAACACATCATCAGTTGCTCATGTGCAAGTTCAAGTTGAAGATGAAGAAAAATAAAAAAAGTTTATAGGAGCTGAAATATGACCTTGACTATGTCCCACCTGAACTCCAAGATCATCTTAAAAAAAGATTTGACAAACTTAACAGCAATGACCAAAAACCAGATGAACTGTGGCATGACATGAAGAAGGCAAAAATGCATAAAAAGACGGGAAGGACGACCAGAATGGACGTCAGGAGAGATTCGGAAACTTGCTCATGTACACAGAGTAGCTAGAGCAAGCAGAGGAAATGATGAAGGACAACAGCTGAACAGAAGATTTCAAAGGGTGGCTCAAGAAGATAAGTAAAGTAAGTAGTTGGAAAACCAAAAGAAGAACTCTCCTAGCATTTCTCAAGCTGAAAGAACTGAAGAAAAATTTCCAACCTCAACCTGGAATGCAGAAGGATTCTATGGGCAAAATACTGAATAACACAGAAAGCATCAAAAGAAGCTAGGAATATACAGTCACTGTACCAGAATAAATTAGTTGCTGTTCAGTCATTTCAGAGGGTAGCATATGATCCAGAACTGATGAAACTTAAGAAAGATTTCAAGCTGCACTGAAGGCAAAGGTGAAAAACATGGCTCCAAGAACTGACAGAAAACCAACTAAAATATTTCAATAACAGGAAGCAGTGCAGGAGATGGTAACTTATCCATGCCAAGAAATGTGAAAGGGAGCTTACTTGATCAATTGAATGGAAGAGAGCTATATTCGTGTCCATTACAAAGAAAGGTGATCGAACAGAATGCGAAAATTATCGAACAATATCATTAATATCACATGCAAGTAAAATTTCATGAAGGAAATTCAAAAACAGTTGCAATAAGGAATTGTCAGAAAATCAAGCTACATTCAGAAGAGGACATGGAATGAGGGCTATCACTGATGATGTCAGATGGATCTTGGCTGAAAGCAGAGAATACCAGAAAGATATTTACCTGTGTTTTATTGACTATGCAGTCACTGTGTGGATCTAACAAATTATGGGTAACACTGTGAAAAACGGGAATTCCAGAATATTGAGTTGTGCTCACGTAGAACCTGTACATAAATGAAGAGGTAGTCATTCAAAGAGAACAAGGGAATACTGTGTGGTTCATCATGAAAAACGGTTTGTATCAGGTTGTAGCCTTTCATCATGCTTATAATCTGACAAACTACACTATATGAAATAAAAATGCAGCTGCTGGACTGGAGGAAGACACATTAACAACCTGTGATACACAAATGACACAACCTTGCTTACTGAAAGTAAAGAAGATTGAAAGCACTTATTGATAAAGATCAAAGACTACAGACTTCACTATGGATTACATCTCAAAGTAAAGAAAACAAAAAACCCCCAGGACTGGACCAATAAGCACCATTATGATAAATGGAGAACAGAGTGAAGTTATCAAGGATTTCATTTTCCTTGGATCCACAATCAACACCCGTGGGACCAACAGTCAAGAAAATAAAATGACATATTGCACTGGAGAAAATCTGCTGCAAAAGACCTCTTTAAAGTGTTAAAGAGCCAAGATGTCACTTTGAAGAGTAAGGTGCACTTTATCCAAGTCTTGGTATTTTCATCAATGGCCTCATATGCATGTGAAATCTGGACAATGAATAAGGAGAGCAGAAGAACAATTCATGTATTTGAATTATGCTGTAGGCAAGAATATTAAATATTCCGTGGACTTTCAGAAGAATAAATCTTGGAAAAAGTACAGCCAGAACACTCCTTAGAAGGAACAATGGCAAAAGTTCACCTCACACACTTTGAACTTACTATCAGGCTATGGATTAGTCCCTGGAGAAGGACATCATGCATGGCAAACAGAGGGTCAGTGAAAAGAGAAAGACCCTCAACAATATGGATTAACACAGTGGCTGCAACAATGGGCTAAAACAGCAATGATTACGAGGATGGTGCAGTATTAAGCAGTGTTTCATTGTTTTGTACGTAAGGTTACCATCAGTCAGAACTAGCTGGATGGCACTTAGCAACAAAAACAATCTTTTATAGTATTAGGTTTTACATTTAGGTGTTTGATCTATCTTGAGTTAGTTTTTGTGATCACAGATCTTGTTTCATTTTTCTGCAAATTGTTATGCAGTTCTGCCAGCAATAGTTGTTAAAGAGATTTCCTCATTCTCATTTAATAGACTTGGAGAAGATTAGCTGCCCGTAAGTGGATTGATTTACTTCTAGATTCTCAATTCCGTTCCACTGGTCTATGTGTCTTTTGTTGTATCAGTACCAGGCTGTTTTGACTACTGTGGCTGTGTTGTAGATTCTGAGATTAGAGAATATGAGGTCCTACCTTGTTTCTCTTCTTCAGTAATGCTTTGCTTATCTGGGGCCTCTTTTCTTTCCATATAAAGTTGATGATTGGTATTTCCACCTCATTAAAGAATGTTGGAATCTGGATTGGGATTCCATTATACTCTTCGATTGCTTTGGGTAGTACTGACATTTTCACAGTGTGAAGTCTTTCTATCCATGAAGACGGTATGTTTTTAAATCAATTTAGGACTCTGTCTCTTTTAGCAGTGTTTTATACATGGTATTGTATTCCTGATTCCCTTTTCAGAGTTCTCTTTTTAGTGTAGAGGAATCCAACTGATTTTTGTATGTTGATCATAAACCCATGAGCCTGCCCCTTTGCTGATTAGTTCCAGTAACTTTCTTGAGAAGTCTTTGAGATTGTCTATATTTATGATCACATCGATTGCAAATAGGGATAGTTGCACTTCTTCCTTACCAATGTGGATACATTTTATTTCCCTTTTTTCTTTTATTGCTCTAGTTACACCTTCTAGTACAATATTAAGAGTGGTGATAAACGGCACCCTGATCATGCTCCCGTTCTCACAGGGAATAATTTCAGTCTTGTTCCATTTAGAATAATGTTGGTTATTGGTTTTGCATGTACATCTGTAATTACAAGAAGGGTTTCTCTTCTATTCCTATGTTGCTAAGAGTTTTTATCAGCAATGGATGCTGGACTTTATCAAATGCCTTCTCTGGAACAATTGGTATGATCATATGGTTATTGTCTTTTGTTTTATGTATGTGGTGGGTTATGATGATTCATTTTTTAACACTGAACCATTCTTGATTACCTAGTATGAAGTCCACATTGTCTTGATGTATTATTTCATTGATATGCTGTTATTCCATTGGCTAGACTTTTGTTGAGAATTTTTGCATCTATATTCATGAGGAATAGTAACCTATAATTTTTTTTAGTAGTGTCTGCACGCGCAGGCCCAAGGGCCCGAGGGGTCTTTCCCTGGATTGTTGCTCTGGTGGCACAGTGGTTAAAGCATTCAACTGGTAACCAAAATATCAGTGGTTTGAACCCACCAGCTGCTCGGAGAAACATGAGGCAATCTGCTTCTGTAAAGCCTTGGAAACTCTATGGGGCAATTCTACTCTGTCCTATAGAGAAGCTATTAAGTTGGAAACACCTCAGTGGTAGTGGGTTTGGGTCTGGCTGGTTTCATGTCAAGTTTATGCTTGCCTCATAGAATGAATCTGGGAATGTTCCTTCTTTTTCTATTTCTGAAATAGTTTAATTAGTATTGGTATCTTCAGTAAGTTCATCTAGGGGGGGACATTTTTTCATGACATACTCAATTTCTTCTTTTGTTATGGGTCTGTTCAGATTTTCTACCTTGGTTTAAGGTAGTATGGGTAGTGTTTTTCTAGAAATTTATCCATTTCATTGAGGTTTTCAGATTTGTTGGAGTAATTTTTCAGAGTATTCCGTATGATCCTTTTTATTTCTGTTGGTTCTGTCATAATGTCACCCATCTCATTTCATATTTAGGTTATTTACATCTTCTCCTTCTTTTCTTTTGTCAACGTGGCCAGTGGTTTTCCTATTTGAACAATCTTCAAAGAACCAACTTACAGTCTTATTGATTCTTTTGATTGTTTTTCTATTTTCTGATTCTTTTATTTCTGCTATAATCTTTATTATTCCTTTTCTTGGGGCAGATGTGGGGTTCTTTTTCGCTCTTTCTCTATTTGAATTGTACAGTTAAAGTATTGATTTTTGTCCTTTCTTTTTTTGATGTGTGCATTTACTGCTGTAAATTGACCTCTGAATACAGATTTTGCTGTCTCATAAAAGTTCTGGTATGTTGTGCTTTCATTTTTGTTTGATTCTAGAGTTTTTTTAAATTTCATCTATTACATCTAGTAGTATTTAAGCAAGGTGTTATTCAGTCTCCCACTTTTGACACAGTCTCGACATTGTGAGTTCTTATATGTGAAGTGAGGTGTGAGGACTGACTGAAGGCTTTCCCACATTCCTTACATTCATAAGGCCTCTCTCCATTGTGAGTTCTTAAATGTTTAGTGAGGGCTGAGGAATCACTAAAGGCTTTCCCACATTCCTTACACTCATAAGGCTTCTCTCCACTGTGAATTCTTCTATGTGAAGTGAGGTGTGAGGATCGACTAAAGGTTTTTCCACATTCCTTACACTCATAAGGTCTCTCTCCACTGTGAGTTCTTATATGTGTAGTGAGATGTGAGGAACGACAAAAGGCTTTTCCACATTCCTTACATTCATAAGGCCTTTCTCCACTGTGAGTTCTTACGTGTTTACTGAGTGCTGAGGAATCACTAAAGGCTCTTCCACATTCTTTACATTCATACGGCTTCTCTCCACTGTGAGTTCTTTTATGTGTAGTGAGGGCTGAGGAATAACTAAAGACTTTCCCACATTCATTACATTGATAAGGCCTCTCTCCACTATGAATTTTTACATGAGTAGTGAGGTGCGATGACTGACTGAAGGCTTTCCCACATTGCTTACACTCATAAGGCCTCTCTCCAGTGTGTGTTTTTATATGTCGAGTGAGGGATGAGGACATGCTAAAAGCCTTCCCACATTCCTTACATACGTAAGGCTTACTTCTGTTACGAAAACTCTTAAGTAAAATGAAGTAGGAGGGAAGACTATAGATTTGACAATATCCTTTACATTCACACTTATGATCTCTCACATGGGTCCAAAAAGATGAGAAACCACAAAATTCTTTCGCATATTCGTTACCTTCATAGCGTTTCTCACCAATGAGTGTTGTCACAGGATTCAAAAGTGTTGACATACAAAGAAAGTCCTTCCCACATACCTTACATTTATGGGGTTTCTTTCCATTAAGAGTTCTCACAGGAGTGGTAAGATCAGAGGGGCAACTGAATGCTTCTCCACATTCCTTACACTGACAGATATTCCATCCAGTGTAGTAGCTGGGTTGATGGTTATTTGATGAGTGATCCATGAAGGCTTTTCCATACTCAAAGCATTCAAAAGGATTTACTTCTGGAGGGCTACTTTGTAGCACAGTAACATCTGGAATCCAGCTGAAGGTTTTTCCACATGGATCACTTTGATGGGTTTCACAGAGGTTCTCTACTGTATGATTTCTGTTAAAATCTGGCAACATGCTGTTGGAAAAACAGTAAGGTTACATTATCTAGCTGAAATATTACCCTTGCTGTTACTAGTTTTCCAAAGTGTTAGACTTTCTGAAAGTTGTGTCCAAGTGAAATATGTTTGAAATACTCAGTGTCTTACATTTCTGAAAATGCTGTACTATGAAAATTCTCTGAAGATGTACTCTCACAGCTTATATATATGTATATGTGTATATATATATGTGTGTGTGTGTGTGTGTGTGTGTGTGTACATATATACATTGTTGTTGTTGTTATGTACTGAGTCAGACCCGACTCATAGTGACCCTTCCTTGGGTTTCTGAGGCAGTATCACTATGGAAGTAGATTGCCGAACCTTCTTTCCAAGGAGAGGCTGGTGGGTTTGAACCACCAGGCTTCTGGTTAGCAGTCAAGTGCCTTAGGAACTATGCTACCAGAGCTCCTGTATATATATTACACATGTATAAATACTAGTATACACACAAACACACACATACATACATAGAAGGGCTTCAACTCAGGTCATAAAGCTTCAGCAATTGCCAACATAAATGAGAGCAGCATATGTGTTACATACCAATTAAGTCTGTGGCTCACTGGGTTTTGACTCTAGTAGGAAACAAACAGCATTGCTCCATTCAAATGTATGGTTCTCCACAGTTTTTCCAATAAACCAGTCTCCCACACGGATCACCAACATGTCAGAAGCCTAATGTGAGAGTCTAGATTATTGGCGAAATAGTGGAGACATACACACAACATGGCCCAGTTGGCCACTATCTTTGAGCAGGACAAAGCTGATCATTTCCTACTCAGGTGAAAATACAAAACATTATTGAACCATTATGAACCATTTCAATGCTCTGGTATACACACATAAATACATAAGTGTGTATTTTAATATCATGACACCTTAGGACTTTCTTGAGGCATTCTTTACTCTTGATTGAATGACACTCACCTCAAATGTCTCCCCTGGCTTTTATGTGGCTCTTCACTGTCATACAATTCAGAGATTTCTCCTAAGGTGGAAGACCACATGTTGTTTTTCATGAATCCCATCATTATATGATCATTGGATAACTCTTGTCCATCATTAAGGTTTTGAGAGACTGACTCAACAATTCAAGTTGAGGTTCACAACATAAAACAAAAAGGAAAGGATTTATTTAGGCTAAAAGGCTGCTGTGAACAAAGAAAGAGTTAGCCACATTTCCGTTTCAGCAATTTGGTAGTGGTTACAATGCAATTTACTAGGAAATACTTCCATGAGTACAGAGAATGATGACATGAAGAGGTGTAATCAGGAGACCAAAGCAGAAACATACTGGACATAATACACATGTACCATTAAAAGAGGAAAAGGGGTGAGAAGATGGCTAAAGTCAGGAGAAAAAAAAAAAAAAAAAAAA